ACAGGCAAACTTTAGCTTTAAAAACTGAGTTATGCCAGCAGATAAAAGAAAACAATGAAAAGAGGAAATGAATGCAATAAAGTTAGGTATCTTCATTGATTCAATACCTAAGATTTAAAATTAAGTTTTAAAAATGAAAATTCTTTCTTGAAGCTTTTATTTTAGTTTCAATTTCAAGTAAATAGAATAAATTTAATATTTCCAAAATATCCAACAATTATTTGATTTTTGCAAGAATTTCCAAATCAATGTGTTTTTTATTGCAAAAAAAGATACTAAAATTTCCTATACTAATCTTTTCACTCTCCTTCTGCTGAGGCAAGAAAAACAAGACTTTTAACCAATTTCAAATGTGCTAGAGATTATTAAAAAATTTAATAAAATAATTGAAAATACTTTGGTCTTTCCTCTTAATAATAGCATAAACATTTTAACAATAAAATTTTGTTTTTATCAATTTGTAGTCTTTTTCATTATGGTATGTTCCTTTTTCAGCGAATTAGTGTAGGTACCTAAATAACCAATAGCATCATGAGAGTAACTATTGAATATTAAGTTTCATTACCTAATAATGTGATGACCCAGTAAGTTTTAGAAAATAATATTAAGTGTCCTTCTTATAAGTGAATTTCAGAATTACTATTTTTTCAAAATCTTACTATAACCAGGTTGGTAATTCTCTTTTTAAAATATCACTATTGTCATTAGTCCCATGACTAATAGTCATAGTGTAATCATTGAGTTGTTGTGCAGCTTAACAGTTTCCAACACATATCTGTGTTGAAAGGATATTCATTTATGCTCAGCATGTCTTGGGAAAGTAAACATTGCCGAGCCCATTCGTCTCCAGTCAATGTCCTCTAACTCTAAGTCTTACCTTGGTCATGGACATATGGCTAGTTGACTTCACTCTGGCCAATGATTTCAATCTAAGAAGCTTTCCATTCAGCAATGCCATGTCATCACTGCACTAGGAGTATCTGGACTTCAGTCTATCCCATTGTAGTAGATGGCACTTGCCCCTACAAAGTTCAGCCACCCTTTGAGAGGGTCTTATTTTTAATCCTTTTAATATATATGCATATTAATTATTATTAATATATTAAAAAAAATAAGATGAGGATTTAGCTTAAATTCAATACAGAAAAGCTAAGAGAATATATAAATTATTTTTGACATGAACTAAGAATTATAAAAAAAAGATACAGAATAAATATTAATGGCTTATTAAAAGTCCCTCATTTTCAATCTTTTCTTTCATCATGAGAAAGACCAGCTTAAGCAGAAAAAGTACTAATGATTCATTATTTAATGCATACACACAAATATTTCTTTCCTTTGTTCTTTTTATCTGATGAAGCCTAGAAAGGTGAAATGTGTAATCAAATCTAGTTTCAATGAATGATTTCCCATTTGCCATATTTTTCAAAAGTACATATATATATATATATATATATATATATATATATATATATATATATATATATATATGGTTTAAAACTGATTATATATATGGGGAAACAGTGATCACTATGAAAGGTAGAATGTCGATATAGACAGTGTGGATATAGAAATCAACATTGCATGATGACTGTCAGTTGCATGCATTAAATGACCTTCAAAATGTGTTGACACTGTTTATATATGTGAATGTGTATGTGTGACATCAATGATGAAAAAATATTCCTTTTACAAAACAAATATTTATTTTTCATCATATTCACGAGTACACTTACTTCAGTGGTGAATATCAATGGCAGACAGAACATTATACAGTGAAAATTTCTGATCAAAATTCAGCTAATAGCTCTGAAATATACTGCAGATTTATTGATTTTTATTAAAGTTATTAATAATTAGCAATGTTTAACCTTCATGCGCAGAAAAAAGTGTGTCAAAAGGATGGTTATTGCCTCAACACCACTATTATTATATACACTTTTGACTCCTTTGGCAACATTTATTCACAAGATTATAAAAATATATGAACCAAGTATAATGCAATATTTATTATTTACCTTTTATAAAGATTTATTACTTTCCATTTTATAAAGAAAGAAATTTGAAAAGAACTTTTTTATTTAAAAATTTATAAAAAAATTATGAAAATATGTAAACAAATTACAACGCAATATTATTTTATAAATAACTATGAAAACTATTTTAGTGAATTTATATGGTGAGAGAAAATGAAAGAAATGTTTGGAAAATGCATTTTTTCAAAATGTATAATCAGTTAGCTGTCATGTGTTTATTTAAATTTTTTTATTCACAGTCATTTTTATAAATTTATGAATAAAAAAATTTTTTCATATTTATTTCTTTATAAAATGGTAAATAAATATTTCATCATACTTGGTTTGGATATTTTTATAATCTTGAAAATAATGAAATTATTCTTGTAAATAAGCAATCTAATCTCAACTTCAGTCCCTTTCTAATTGACATGACATGGCTTCCCTCTGTCTTTTCTACAAATATTTTTATGACAATTGTCCTGAGTTTTCCTTCTTTGTTACTCAAATGCATGAATTTAAGCATGCTACTAGATGGCAACTAGGTCCCACCATTTTCTGGTTGAAGTAGCTAGATGCAATTGTCTGTTCTATTCTTTTCTCACACTTCTCACCTGTGGAACTCCCTTCCAATTTTTTGCATTTCTACCACTGACAATCTTCAAAAATTTAAATGCAACATCAATCATTGTCATGTGTCTTCCTGAATCCTGTTCCTTTATTGTCTTTTCTCTCACTTCTCCTCACCAAAATCTTTTCATTCTCTTTCACTCCATGTAATCCCCTTCATCCTAGAGGCATTACCACCTTGCTTAGGGTGAAATGATTAAAAAAAAACAGTGTTTAATGACTTGCTTGTGAATTTTCAAGAATAAAGAAAATGTATAAATCCACTTTCATATTTTGGGGTTTTATTAGAATTCTAATAATCACTTTGTAAAACAATAAACATTGCTGAGGGAGTCAAAAGTGCATACAGCAATAGCAGTGCCAAGGGAATAACAGTCCTTTTGACACAGTTTTTTGGGGTTGGTGAGGCAAATGTTAAACATTGCCTAAAAATTGAATGTGTTTTGTATACTCAGTTTTATTTTAACCACAATGTTATATTAGGAATGCATGAGATATTCACAGCTCAAAAAATATGAACATCTATTAGGTCCTGCCTCTGCTCATAGATCATCAAACTTCATTCCGTGTCACATTATATTTAGTTTGGTGAAGGCTTCTTGAGGTGAATAAATAAAGAGAATATGCATCAATCAACATCAGATATTAGTTTGTACAGCAGTCAGTAATCCAGACTTAGACTCACTAAACTTTAAAATAGCAATTTCATTCATTTTTTTTTCTCCCTTCTCCAGCTGACAGTTTTATGATTTCTTTTAACCTTTTCATGCTGGCTACTGTTTATATACCACTTAACAAACAGATTAAACTTCCAGGATTGTTGTACTTGCCACTTACTTAAATAGATACCTCAATAAAAATCCTGTAGCAAATGTTTGAAATATATCTCCAGTTGGAAAGCAGATGGAATTTTCCATGTGTTAATAAAAAGAAACTAAACACCAACCTCTTTCCATGCCTGTTTACTCTTTCAGTTGGGCTTTTATATCTTGCTGCCTATTTCTATCAAACCAACAATAATGCTGACTTATTGCTATTTCCTCAAGAATATCTCTGTGTTTAATAGATGTACTTTTACACACAACATTTTTCTCATCAGAATCCATCTTGCACATTTACAAATCTAGCATTCATCAATGCATTGAATACTGTTGCCACATCTGGTCTGGTGCGCCTACTATTCACCTTGAGATTCTTGACAAAATCCAAAGAAGGATCTGCAATAAAATCGGTCCTGACCAGGCATCTCAACTTCTGTCATTTTCTCACCAAGATGACATGGCTTCCCTATGTTGTTGCTACAAATATTTTCTGATGAGCTTTTTTCCCATGACTACATGGCACCTAGGCATCTACATTGTAAAATTGATCCCTGACTTTTTAAAGAATTATCTGTACTGTGTTTTATTTACAAATGTCAAGTTTAGAACTGTGTTTATATCATTGATTACTGCATACAACGGATGTTGTTCTTTTTTCCCAATTTGTTATGAATTTAGTGTTCAAACGAATTACATTTCTTAGTTTCACCAGTTCTAAAACTCACAGCTAAGACCCACCATGATACTCACACTGTAGTGAACCACCCTCATTCCCTTTGTATTCCATTGGTGAGATGTAAGCTTCACCCGAGCAGTTTCTTCCCATGAACCGCTGCTTTGTGAAACTGATTCCCTGATCACTATAATCTTAACCTGTTCAAGTCTAGGGTTAACCATTATCTTCCTCACATATCCACATAAACTGTGCCTCTTACTCTGTAACCCTCTACCTCAAGTGGCTCTCGGGTATTGTACTGAGTGAACATCGATGTAAAAATATACGTGCTTATCAATGCTAAGCTACAAGAACTGTTAAAAAAAATCTACCCTATTTTTCTTTTTCAAACAGAGCATTTAATTAAAGTAGTTAAAACAATAAAAACTGAACCAATTGATGATGACTGACAAAAACATAGAATCAGAAATTGAACTTGTGCTGTCATTGAATTTTTTAACTCTGGAACATATGGCATCTCAGGAAATCTGTGATCACATACAAATTGTCTACCATTAAGACTATCATTCATATGCAATGGTCAAATATTGGGCTCCTAATTTTCATTGGGAAAAGAGTTCCGTTGAAGATGAACCATAATTTGGATGGTCTATAGAAGCAACCTTTGTTAAAAAATTATAGAAGTTGAACAAAAATATTCTTTTCCTCCTGTTTTGTCATTAAGAATATTGGACTCAAAGTTTATACTTTCTAATTATAAACTTTGAGTTCAATATTCATCTTGAGTTTCTGATCCAATGGATTAAAAATTTCAAAACCTGAAAGTGCATAAACTAAAAATCAAATGTAATCTCTTACCCAAGAGAGAATAGATGTTGACAGGATCAAGCACATCTTCATAATCACGTAAGACCAAAGCAGTTTTCATGGCTGCATCCACATAACCTAAAATTAAAATCAAAATGAAATAGCTAAACTTGGAAAAATAAAATTGGTTGTACTGAGAACTTTAATGGAAAGGAGCAGTTTTTAAATGAATGATGTTGGTTTGGCATAATATATCAACCCTTGTTTGGATATTTAATGTAAAAAACCAATCTTTTGTTATATCTAAGCTTTTACTTGGTATTATTATTTTGGCTATTTATATTTGAATCAATAAGCAAATACTAGTTGTTTATATTTGTGTACAGTAATCATCTCTCCGTTGCATCTCTATCTTCAGACACAACAGAGTTGATGGCGAAAAAAATGCTGAGAGGTGCTTGGTCCAAAGGAACAGCTGCCCAGAGAGGGGTGATCAGTAGTCATACCAATGTCAGTGCAAACAATGGTTGTGGAGGTTGTGCAATTTTTGGCAATGACCCAGGTATATGCACTTGGGTGTACCACATTAAACTTGACCTTGTGTCACATCATGTCTCAGTGGAGAGATGGGGTAAATACCCATTTGGGTCTATAGGTAAATGTTGGCTAATTATACTTGAGTCTGTTAGATGTTGGCTATCTATACTCATTTTTTTTATTCAATTCACTCCAAGGAAGACAATAATGCCAGTAAGATGCAAGGGATTACTGGAAGTAAAAAAAGAATGAGAAAAGGAACAAGAACACAATCCTAAACAGGAAACTAGGGACAAACCTGTACTCCTGTTTAAAAGACTGGGGAGGAGTGTGAACCAGACAATAGGAAAACCTATCTACTTCTGTTGCTTGAATCTGTTGGTAGATTGTTGTGTAGGAAGACTGACTAACCTTCTCTATACCTATTATTGAAACATGGATTTGTCCATCCACTCTGAGTAAAATGTTTGCTCATGAAACAATGGCAAAAATTGGGTTGCAAAGACATAGCACTTTCCAGTTGTATGCGTGTTGTACTGAACTACTGTATTCTCAATCCATGTTCTCATTTGATTAAACCCTTCTTCACTCAATCTTTTGTTTTCAGAGTTTTCCCTACAGTTTTACTAACCAACAACTATGAACGTTATGTGTACTTTATAATATAGATGTTGGCCATTTATACTTGAGTGTGTAAGTAAATGCTGGTTGCTTATATTTTATAGGTAAATATTAGTCATTAGTGGAATCATTGAATCAGTGATAAAAAGTATAACTGGGTCAATAAAACACGTTGAACAAGCCAGTTGCAATCAAGTGCTATGACAACCCAGAGCAGGGGACACAAATGAAATAAATAAAATTCTCAGGCTGAGAACTTATTCTGGCATGTCATTAACAAAGCCTTTGTGGGAGTGGAGGTGCTGAAAAGATATAGAATGAAAGAGAGTGATGTTGATGCTGTGCAAGTCTTTCTCACTATCATCTCCTTTCATATGCTTGAAAAAAAAAAAGAGCTATCATAGATATCTGTTGTAGGATAACTAGAGTAAGAAACTTACCAGCCTGGAGTTGGGTATGGGTCAGCAGATAAAAATGATAGGCTTCTGCATGATGCCAAGGGCTGTCAACCAATTGGGCATCATACATTGATGCTGTGTCTTCTTCCAAAAATCCTTCAAGAGAGGAGCTCACCTAAGAAAACAATCAAAGAAATAATAGTCTAAAATTATTTTTTCATTATAATCAGCATCTCTTATGGTGAATTAATTAGTTTTGTACATTCATATATTGAATCTGCAAATAAGTGCCTGTAACAATAGGTTGTGAAAAAACATGAGAACACAAACACACACATACATACATACATAGATACATACATATATAAAATAAACAAATAAAATATATAAGATAATAAAATAAAAAATACAAAAAATGAAAATAAATAAATAATAAAATAAAATAAAAAATATATAAAATAATAAAAATATGAAAAATACCAAAATAAAATGAAATAAACAAATAAAATAGATAAAGTAATAAAAATACAAAAAGTAAAAATAAAAATAAAATAAAAAAATAAAATAAATTTTGTAGATAGTCAATAAACACAATGCATTTTGTATCCCAAAAAATTGAGGCGATCACCTTCCCTGCAGATAAAATTACCTTGACTCTCTTTGGAGTCAGTGAGGCAGCTTATTCCACTGCATTGTCTCTTTAACTCTGGCTCAAAGTGATGCACTCAGCACTTATCCAGGGTTACGAAACATTCAAAGAAAGCAGCTGGATCTGCCTCAAACAATATTAGATTTTCTCATGGTGTGATCACTTTGGTGCATTTTTGAACAGGTGTCAGAGGACATGTCACCCACCAAGCAGAAACCTTCATCATACCAAGTTCATTGCGTAGAATATTCTCAATTCTATCACAGGATATGCTAATAGCATTGACTATTTGATTTATAGTCAATTGCCTGTTATCCATCACCATGTGGTGAACACAATCAGTGTTTTTCTCAGTGGTGGCAGTTGTGGGGGCATCTAGAACTCAAATCATCTTCAAAACTCACTCTTCCTCTCCTAAATACAGCATGAATGTTCTTGGGAGCTAAATCCTTTTTCAGCACATACTAGATAACACAACAATACCAAATTTTGTCTATTTTCAAGAGAAGTTGCTACTAGTTACTTTTAAAGTCTTCTTTGAACAGTCAGATGTCAGTTTACTGAGAAAGAAACAATACACTTATTAATATGCAAGATTATACAGCACTAGTATCACTCCTTCATAGCCAATGAACATTCATTATATATATATATATAATGTATATTTGGGCAGCAACCTTTCAAAGATCTTTCATTGAATACAGCCAACAAGGAAGATTAAATTAATTTTTTATCAAGTTTTTCTAGTATCCTAACATTTTTTAACTCCTACTAAACATAAAAATGTTAAGATGCTGGAAAAATGTAATAAAATTTAATTCAATCTCCTTTGTTGGTCATATTCAATAATATATATATATATATATATATATATATATATATATATATATATATATATATTTATATATATATATATATAATATGTATTTTGGCAGAAATCCCTCTTTTATATAAGTTTCATTGAAGATGATTGACAAGGCACAGCAATTAAGTTTTTATTAAGTTTTTTACATTTAGACGCATATTTTCTTTTCTGGACATAAAGTGTTTAATTCTGTCCAAATGTTCGATAGATCCTTGTGCTTTCAACTAATCTATTCACCATTATCAAGGATGTTTTTATAAATGAATATGAAAGTTTTTTTTCATATATATGTATTATAGGGACATATATATATATATATATATATAAAACCTACATATAGAATGGTATTTTTTTGTGTTTTTTTTATTAATTTCTGAATCTTGTGATCATGTCCATTGTTGATATTATTGAGGGTTATTAATAAGGTTTCCATTATTTTCCATTACATATATATGTGTGTGTGTGTGTGTGTGTGTGTGTGTGTGTGCTTATGTATGTATATATGTATATATATTGTGTGCAAGAGTGAGAGAGAGACATGGTGCAAAAAAAATGCAGGGTTTTAACTGTTATGCACCAATGCTAATATTGTCTGAAAGAGCCAAACATCTCTTTTGGTTAAGGAATATACAGCCTAGTTCATGACAAATGCTGCTGATGGCGCCTGGGGTGGCGGTCCCGCCATAGCCACTGAAACCGTGAGGCACGTGCTAACACACGTTGTATGTTAAAAAAAAAAAAAAAGAAGGAATATACAGCCCAGTTCATGACGATATAACTAGTAGAAATAAATGCTTGTGAACTCAAAGTGTAATGTACAGAAAACACAACCCTGATTCTAAAATCATACATACAAAAGCAAGAAAGACATGTTGGACAAGAGATGAAGTTTCAATTATAATTGTTTGGGTCAAATGAGAGTCAAGCTTTCCTATTTCAAATTGTTAAGCAAGGAACAAAGTTTACTTACTTCAAGTCATCTGACCATTTCCAATAGAATGGGAGTAATACCCCACCCAACATACCTTATACATAGGGCCAAAAGATGTCTTGAAAATGCTATGCACTAATGAATGTTGCCTTTTTCATATTCCTGTTACTGCAGATTATTTGTGGAGGATAGAGAAAGCCACAGCCATACCAAGTGATGCAGCTGTGGTTTCAGTAACAAGTGAATTTTTACAGGGACAAGTCGCTAACTGAAAATAGCCTTTCTTTACAGTACTAAAGGGCTCCAAATGCCATACTATTGGATTCATACCTTTCCAAAGATCATCAATGCAAAATTAATTCAAACTGCCCAAGCTGGAGTTTTGAACTCACTTCATTAATTTCATTCTATGTGCTGATAGCCATTATGTCAACTACACCACCTATACAATACTTACTGGACATTTTATATATCTATTTCATGGTTGAAACTATATCCTTATGGCCCATGATGTATATTTAGTTAGCCACATGTCTTCTTTTTATATAATTACAGCCACACAAGAAGCAGGTGCATTTTGTATCATAATGCATATTGCGTTCATTGCATTCTTTCTTAGAAGGCAATATAAATGACAATATGCTAGATTCAGTTTCTACCTTACAGCATTGAACAATGAATGTACTTATTTTGTTACACTATATAATGCGAATATACAAGGTAGCAGTGATAGGTGATGTGTCCTTTGATCCTGTGATCCATAAACCATTTTGGTCAGGGAATGTTCCTGAAGATATTACACATGCAGAAAGAGTGAGAAAGAAAAAAGAAAGAAAGTGAAAAACAGAAAGAAAGAGGCTGAAAAGAAAGAGAGAGGAAATAGAAAGATAGAAGGGCTAAGAGAAAGAATGTGAAAAAAGAGAGAAAATGAAAAAACAAAGAGTGAGAAAGAAAAAGAGAGAAGAAAGAGAGAAAGAAAGAGAGGACAAGGAGAAAGAAAGGCTAAGAGAAAAAAGAGAAAAGATAGAAAGAGCAAAAAAGAGAAAAGATAGAACAAAAGGGGAAAGAGAAAGAGTCTCAGAGAAAGAAAGTGAAAAGAAGAAGACAGCAAAAGCGAGAAAGAGAAAATAGAGAGAAACAAAAAAGAGAGAGAGGAAAGAAAGACAGAGAAAAGAAAGAATCAAAGGGAAAAGAGAAAGTTAGAAGGGTTATGGGGAAGAAAGAGGAAAGAAAGAGAAAAGACAATGAGAGCAAGAGCATGAAAGAGAAAAGAGAGAAACAAAAAAGGAAGAACAAAAAGAGAAAGAGAAAGATAGAAGGACTAAGAGAAAGAGAAAAGACAATGAGAGCAAGAGAAAAAAAGAAAGAAAAGAAAGAAAGAGGAAAGAAAAAAAACAGAGAGAGAAAAAAGGAAAGAGAAAAGACAGAATGATAGAGAGGGTCTAAGAGAAAAAAGAAGAAAAAAGAGACAGTGAGAAAATGGTTTCATGGCTCAACTCGTTATATATTTCTCACCAACATAGGTCAGTCAGAGCTCTTTTAATCCATCTTGGGTACTGAATAAGGTCAGGTCAAAGATCCTTTCTTGCTGCCAATACCATGTAACTCAATATAAAATGTCACACATTACTTGGAGAGAGGAGATGAGCACCATAGCAAAATTAATTAGCATAATATTCCAACAATCTAATAGGTCATGGGAAACAGTTTCTGTGTATGTTCACGTTAGTGGAATCATTGATCAATAATATAAAGTGTCACAAAGCCTGGTCAGTGATTTCAGCATGTTAAATGAGACTGTTGCCATCCATTGACATGACAATCCAGAACAAGGGTCATAAAGAAAAATAAATAAAATTGTCCACCATCAGAGAAATTGAAATAAAAGCATGAACCACTAAAACTTCTATCCATACAAATACAGTCACACAAGAAGGAATAAGTATGAAGACAAGATCAGTTTATATGTTGCTTTACTTATGTCAATCTTTTTGATAAAATACAAAGTGTGGGCTGGAAATTTCTCACCCTAACCAAGAAGCCTTTGCAAAAATAAACATATTAAATCCAGGTAAAACCATGATTTTGAATGTTGATTTTCTAGGCTGGCCCACAGTGTTCTATTTGGTCTTGTGTCATACTGTACTAAACTTAATAAACATAAAAATATAAATATGATTAATTTGTCTGCTTAATGGCATACCAACTCCTTATGGGTCATTTAATGCTGAAATTTAATTTTCTTGGGAGCTTGGAAGTAATAAAAATATATGTTAATCTGCTTTCACAGCTGAATACATGATAGATACTCAACTTTTGTGCATATACATGTTTGTGTGGACATAATTATCAGAGGTGGGGACATGTGTGTTTTATATTGTAGTTTTGTTGAAGCCTTATTTTGGAATACAGTTTGATTTTAGAAATTATAGGATATTATATGGATTAATATCATGAAAGAGTCCATTTTGGTTGTTTGGTAGTATTTTAAACAGATTTGGCTGAAGTTGCTACAATTTATTAGTATGCACATATTGTTGGTAATTTTACTAGAAATATGTTTTGTTGGTATTTTTTTATATAAAATTTATTGCTGATATTTATACTATAAAATTTATTTTTATATTTTCATAGTGTTTTGCTTGGGGAGTTCATTATTTGTGCATAGCTGAGACCCTGACAGGTGCTACCACCCGAGGTCAAGGTGGACCTGGGAACAACAGCAATTAA